TGCTACATGCTCTGATGCCTCTCTGCTCTGTTCTTAAGAAAATACTCTTAGTGAAGTGTTTGGGAAAAACATTTTTTAAGAAAGAAATTCTTCGGTCACGCCCCTGAATATGAGAATGTATCCTAGCATGGAAAGATCTACGACTTATTGTGTAGAAAATAGATACCGTATGTAATGTGTTTATGTATATCTTGAGACAAAAAACTAATGGTTTAAGGAAGGTTAGACAGCTACTTTCCAGACTTTGCTGAAAAACTCTATTGTCATTGCTGTGTTTTTATATCATCTTTTCCTTTTCAAACAGTTGAAACCATGAAAGAGGATAAATGACATCTCCGGAATCAAAAAACCAGCAATATCATTGGGTACATGCATGAAGAAGGTGGTGATAATTTTTTGTGCTATATCATTCCACAATCTTAAATGAACTTTGGTGAGAAAGAATACCTATCTATTTATCTGTCTGTCTATCTTTCTATCTATCTATCTATCTATCTATCTATCATCTATCTATCTAATCTCTATCTCTAACCATCTATATATCTACTGGAAAATCCCTCCCTCAAATACCTTCTTGGATAAATAGAGGTGAAAAACACAAAGCAGAATTTACTCTGATGTTGGATAAACTATGTAGTCATTAGGTATATAAAAAGCAAAAGAAAACTATTCAAAAAACAAGTTTCACAAGGCTCCAAAAGATTTCTTAACACATAACCGTGTGTGGAAAACAGCAAGGTTTGCTAAGTATTTTCCTTTCACCCACCCAAAATGTGAGTGAGTCCATTTTGAAAATTACAACTCTTAAAACTAATTATGGTGTCTTGAATTTATTTTTGGTTCAAATTGCTGAGAAATATGACCTAGGCTTAAGTTCTAAATCTTCCAAACATTTTAAAATATCAAGTTTATTTTAGTAAATGTTTAATCCATTTAGTATTTATCTTGGTTAATGGCAGAGTATCCATTGCCTTTTGGATGCTTTTGTTTGTTTGTCTGTTTATTTTTGAGACAAGGACTTGCTATATATTTGAGGCTGGGCTTGATCTCACTGTGTAGCTCAGATTGGTTTCAAGGTTGTCCTCCTACCTCCTCTCTAGCTGCTGGGGAGGCAGGAGATTAGGGCATGGCCAGCCGACTGAGCAAGTGGGAGTAACCTGTCAATCAAGAGACTCAGGACATATGTGCCCAAGCCTTGCACCTGGAGCCAATCAGAAAATGCTGTCTTCTATTATTTGGAACAAGATCAAGCACATTTTTCATAGGATGGCCTAGATCTGACTATCAGCTTGAGAAATGGGGGATACAAGAGGATGGCCATTAACTTCCTGGCCACTGTGAGCTCTCTCTTTCAGTAGCCTGCCCTCACTTTGCAGGCTGTACTTCTTTTCTTATCTTTAATACATGTAGAACCTCACTGTGTGTGCCTTGACCAATTCTTTGCTCAGGACAACAAGAACCTGGAAAGGATCTCTGGAAAGGCCACTCGAGAGCCCAAGTAACACTGAGATTACAGGCATGTGCCACCATGCCCAGCAAATCCTACAGCAACTGGTATTCGCAGGTAGTCTGCCAGCCAAATGCTCACCTGGCCTGGTGTATTTAGCTTCTGAGATCATGTTCAAGGTGGTATGGCAGTAGGTCATTTTGGTTTCACTTTTACCTGTTGGGATCTATTATTTTTGGTACAATGATTCCTTGTTCCTCAGATGCTTATTTGTGTCAAAAAACTGGAGTTATGTGACTCCAGTTACAAAAGAAGGAGCATTTGTTATGCTTCCAGCACTCTCTGGCTTTGTTTTCTATTACCCAAGGAGGAAGCTATCAAAAATAACTGTTGAGAGATGACAAGTATCTTGGCTATTCAAGTCAGGAGTAGAAATAATAATTTTTTCATGGATTTTGTACTTCCAGAAGTATGAATTATTCATGATGTGCCAGTTGGGGTAAAAATCAGCTCAATGATAGATTTGAGCCAGCAGCAGAAAATTTGCCAAGGAAAGTTGCAATGTAGTAGAACCTAAAAATGTAGTCATGCCGTTCAAACGTGTCTCTGCTTCTTTAGTCTCAAAGTTAAATCCTGAAAGTTTGTAACTTGTAACTGCAAAGAAGAACTAATGATTTTCTAAACTTGCATTGACCTTTTACTTTGAATTATGAAAGACAGTAGTCCCTAAGGATCTTCCGTGAAAGAAGAATGATGCTTTATCCTAGAATTAGCTATTTTGTATTTCCCCTGTCTGTAGCAGGGAGACAGAATTCACAAAGCAGTCATCTACTTAGCCCTATGTATTTAGCCATGGCCCCAAACAGTGAATGTGTTCCTTTGGTTCAAGGTAGCAAAGAGGTGCCTGGCAACCATTCAAGTTGTCTGGCCTTCAGAGGGTCCCCTCCATGTTGTACTGCCTCATCTCTCTCCAGGTAGCAACATCCTATATAAACCTGTCTTTCACTTAAACCCAGGCCTGTGAGAGAAAAGGGCATTGATAAAGTATGCATCTGAAGAAAGGCGCAACCATTAAAAGTTACACAACCTGTTTGTTTCTCTCCAAGTGATTTCTCAGGGCTATGGTGAATCTCTTTGATGTGGCTCCAGGGAAGTACCTTTCAGTAGTCCACAATTAAAAGGATCAGAAACGAGTAAGAAAGCAATTCAGTAAGCCAGTTCTGAATAAGACTGAGTAGTAAAAAGGGGAAAGGACAACCAGAGACACTAAAAAGAAAATTCAGGTGGATGAAAGAGGAGAAACTAGTGGGAGAAAATCAGTCCTAGGTTTTAGACTCTGGAGCCACAGTTGATCTGAAGAAACAGTTTGGAAAACCCCATACTGTTTAACAAGTGAGGCGAGAGTGAGGATTTCACAAAGCATTTCGAATACAGGAATATCCTACACGAAACTCTCTACACAAACTGAGTTTAAGTCACTCTGCTGGCATCTCTTTTTTTCAGTGTCCTTTATTTTAGTGCTTCTAGTTCCTTATTATTTTACAAAAAAATTACTTTATAATAAGACTTCTGACACTGTAACAGTATGACCTTTCTAGTCACACTAGAAGACAAAGCTCAAAGAAAAAACCAAAAATACCTAAGTTATTTCAGTGTTTTCTTTTTCTTACTCTGTTTATATCCTCTTATGGGATAAGAGTATGTAGTTCAATCAGGGCCGTGTGTGTGGATCTAAGAAATCAAGGACTAGTTGGACATCACTAGAAAAGTAATATAAGTTGAACACGTTCATACCTCTGTGAAAACCAAGAGTGTGTATAACTACACATCAAACAATGTCCAGAGGAGGTCCAGAAAAGGACAATTATAGTAAGAAAGCAGAAGCGAAAGCCATACTGTCATAAACCAAACAAACAAACAAACAAAATCAAATTAGTTCTATGTAGCATATGACTGTGATTTACACTGTCAGAAAATGGTGACTTGGATGAGGGCAGCACCCTTATTCCTTGCACTTATATCATTGAGAACCTCCTTGGCAAACTCATCTTCCTTAGCATGGTTTTCCAAATCTTTTGTAATCTGACATCCTTTTTCTTCTCCAGCTTGAACTCCTAACCCTGGAGTCCACTTCCCACCACCTCCACCATGCTAAAGTTCTAGCCATCTTGAGCTTCTTTCAGGGCTCCCTGCAAGATTTTGATGTTACAGGATTTTGGTCTCAGTTATCATTTCCTCTGAACACTCCTCCCGAGTCCCCTAGTCAGTAGAAGGTATTCCTTGAAGGGAGACTAATTGGAAGTGTCTTATTAGCCAAAATTAGCCAATACTGCATGAGTCAAATTAGACCAGTATAATTATCTTCTGGGTAGTAGTTGGTTTGGAATCTAAGACAATAATCTACGTCAGTTAGAAGAGATAGGAGGAAAAATAAATTTAGCTGTGGTATTATTGTGGAGCATACTTAAACCATTTGTATGGTTAACTAATAACCATAAGCATAATAACAAAAACCAGCTTTCTGAGAATGACAGAGATGCCCAGTGTCTTGGTTGCTTTTCTGTCTTTGCTGAGACAAAATAACCAATGCCCAAAATGAAGGGAGGAAAGGTTTATTTAGTTTACAGTTTGTGGAGGTTTCAGTCCATACTTGGATGGCTCTGAGGCAGAAGACAGCAAAGTAACAAGAGCAAAGGGGGGAATGGCAGCCGGACAAAAGGGAGGAATGGCGGCAAGCAACCTCTTTCCCTGCCTTACATTGTAAGCAGGCTACCCCCACCTAAGGGGTCATATGGCTCTCACATACTCTCCATGCTTTCCTCTTGCACAGGCTCAGAATGTATACAAAGTAAGCACCCTGGCTTCCTGCTGAGTTACTTAGCCAAACCTCTACACTGCACAAGTTGACACAATGTATGAACTATAACACCCAGCAAGAAGCAAAGGTACATGGTCATGTGGCTTTAGGTAGATAAAGAACAAGAAACTGATTGTCTTTTTTTCCAGACAACTCTATTTCCTACTCTTTGGTTTTCCTGTAATCTTTCATGAAATTCACTAACATGTTAAATTAGGAGTAGCAAGCCAGGTGTGCTGGCACATACTTGTAATTCTAGTACTTTGGGAGGCCGAGGCAGAGGATTGCAAATTCAAGACCAACCTGGGAAATTTAGTAATGTAGCATGACCCTGTCTAAAATTAAAAATGAAAAAGGGCTGAGGATGGTGCTAGTTGTATAGGTTCTCGCTTCAATTCCTAGTACCACAAAATAAAAATAAAAATAATCGCCAGTCCCTGATATGCTTAATGGGTTTGCTACTAACATGCGAATGATTCTTGACAAAAACAAACCTTCTGTGTCACCTTATACAGCTTTGTCCTTTTTTCAGCATCACACTTACCATTCTTTGTTTTTGTGTCTTAACCAGAATTTTCCACTGTGCTCTGCCTCCATGAGGACAAGCGCTGTATGTACCAGAGTCACAACTTGTAGCACAATGCACTTAACATGTAAGAAAATAAATATTTGTCAAATTAATGTACAATTTCTTACCTAATTCCTATTTGTATTACTTGACTGGAATGCACCATGGGATATTCTCTCCTTTGGCTGTCAAAGTTTCAAGTGCTAACCTTTGATGTGCAGTAGGGAAGAATTCTTCATGAAGGGAATAATGCCAAACGTTCTTAATGAATTTGTGTGACATCAGCTTACATCACATTGGAGAGCTAAGTAGGTCTCACGTTCTCCCTTCTTTCTATCTTGTTTTCAGACTGTAAAAATAGACCATTTGTCAGTGCAAACACTGGAAGATGAAGTTTTTCTTTGTTTGTCTTATTGGGGATTGAATTTAGGGCCTTGCACTGAGCTACATCCCTAGCTGTTCTTTTATTTTTATTTGGAGGTGAGGACTTGGCAAGTTGCCCAGTCTGGGCTTGAACATGTGATCCTCCTGCTTCAGCCTCCCAAGTAGCTGGAATTCAGGTACATGCCACTGCATTTAGCTGAAGACATGAAGTTTTTGGAAAGAGCTCAATTCTTATGTTTTGTAACAAGACCTCAGTTTCTTACTTGGTTGAGAATCAGAATCAGGATTTTGGTCTCAGTTATCTTCTGCAACATACTAACTCCCAGATCCCATAACAGTTTCAACGTAAATCTTTATAGAATCTTTTGAATGATTCTGAATCCTAAGGAAGTTTCTTGACTTTGGTGTCTTGATTGATCTTAGACTAAGTTTCAGAAACATCTTTAGGAATCATAGACATCCATAATGTGAAAATATGTGGATCCTACCTTAAACTAATTGCTGTCAACTAGTCACCCATTTATTCCACCCACAAATAATTTATTAAGAATTCTCTATAGTGCTTTTGTGGTCTTTAGAACAGGTCTGAAGTTAGACCTCAGCTTTGGGAGCAACTTAAGAACAGATTGATCCCCTTTAACCATCACATTTCTATAATAAATACTATTCTGAATATGACACTGTAATGTTGACAGTGAGATCATAAAATCATACCTCTATGTCTACTCCAACCCAAATACAATTCTGAATTCTTTCTCTGCAGAGTGTCGTTGAACAGAAGAAAAGACCTCCAGCTACTCAGGGAAGCGGTTTGGAAAAGGGCTTTTGATCATGCTAGCAGGTGGAAGCCTAGTAGATCAAGTCCTGGAAAAGAAAAGACAAGATAAATTTGTGAAATGACTGTTTTTCATCTGATAATAAAAGAGTTTAAACATCTTGAACCTCCTTGCCAATTAAGGCTTTGAGATTTTGCTGTCCCTCAAACACCAGGCAACATAGAGTAATCAAAGAAAAACTAGAGCAAAAAAAGGCGCTATGTTCAGAATGGAAAACTCGGAGCAGTAAAGATGTTAACTTTCTCCAAATTGACTATAGTTTAATGAAATTCCTGTCAAAAACCCAGCAAAGTTTCTTTTTTGTAGCTATAAACAATTGGATTCTCATATTTGTATAGAAAGACATGATTTAAAGTAGCAAAACCAACTTTGAAGTGACATAATACAGTTAGAGAAATCACTTTTCTAGACATCAAGGGTTATACACTTGGCAAAAGAGAATCTAATAATGATAGACCACTAGACCACTAGAAACAGAATAGAAAAACAGAAATAGACCCCAAAAATATGTTCAATGAGTTGTTTACAGAAGCAAAAAAGCAATTCAGTATATGATGAAAAATCTTTGGAATAAATGTTGCCAGTGATTATATAGCCCAAGGATAGAAAATCAAAAAACAAAAAGAAATATCTCAACTTAAACCTCACATTTCATGCAGAAATTAACTCAAAATAGGTCATGGACTTGAATGTAAAACACAAAACTGTATGTTTTTTAAGAAACAAAAAGAATAGATATCTCCAGAACCTAGAGCTGGATAAAGACTTCTCTGCCTTAACATTGAAAGTTTAATCCATAAGAGGAAAAATTGATAAACTGAACCAAATCAAAATGCAAACTTTTATTCTGTGAAGCATAGGTAAAGAAGATGAAAAGCCAAACTACTAGAGCAAAGTATTTTTATATCATATATTTAACAAAAGACTTTAATTTGGAATATATAAGACTTTCAAACTTTGACAGCAAAAGAGGAAAAAAAGAAGAGCTCTTTCATTGAAGATAATGGCAAAGAAATACACGGAAATATGTTTAGCATCTTCAGTTGTTGAGGAAATATAAAGTAAAATCCATAAAGAGATATCACCACACAAATAGCAAAATGACTAAAATAAAAATTAGTGATAACGAATTTCAATGAAGATATGAAGAAACTGAATCACTCATATTGCTGGTGGCTGTGTAATATGGCATAGTCACTTTAAAAATTGTTTGGAAATTTACATTAGACTGAACATGCATTTGCCATGTCATTCAGTAATAGAACTCCTTAGTGTCTGTCCCAGATTAGTAAATAATTGTGTTTGCATGAAACCACTTATGAGAATGGAATAGTTATAATATCTGTATTCATAACAATCTCACACTGAAAAAGTCTTAAATGTCCTTCAATGGGTGAATAGTTAAACTAATCATGATACATTCATACCATGGAATATTACTAGGCAGTAAAAAGGAACAAACTATACACAATATGATAGACAGATTCATGTTCCCACCTCCCCAAAAAGTGTATAGATGTATACTCTCTAATCCCTGGGACCTGTGAAAATATAATGTATGGCACAGTGTTCTTTGCAAGTATACCAAAGTTATGGCTTGTAAAATGGTATTATCCTGCATTATAAGATAAGTGTAACCTAATCACATCAAATCCTAAAAGCAGAAATGTTTCTCTGGCTGGAGTCAGACGGGCTGTAGCACAAAGAGAAATCAGAGGATACAAGCATGCGAGGGGCTCTATCTGCTCTTGGTGGAGGTGGAACCACACCAGTGATAGAAAAGATACTAACAGCGTCCACAAGAGAAGACTGGCTCCGGGTGACAAGCAGCAAGGAAATGGGAACCTCTGTCCTACTACTGCCAGACGCTGAATCTAGTCAAGATCCTGAACAAACCTGGAAGCAGTTTCATCCCCAGAGCCTTCAGAAAGGAATGCAGGCGTGGGTTTCGGCCTTGAGAAATTCTAAGCAGAAAGCCCAGCTGAAACACCCTGCACCAGATTGCATCTATGGCAGTTAGTTCAACAGCAATAGAAATTAATACATGCACAACTTGGAAGAATCCCAGGAGATGTACGCCAAGTGACAAAAGCCCTTTGCGAAAGGTTACATACTGACTCACTCTATTTATATGATGTTCTCCAAATGATAAAATTAGAGGAATGGAAAATAGATTAATGGTTGCTAAACAATGCGAGAAGGGTGAGGGAGGTGGATGTGATTATTAACGGACAGCACAATGGATTCCCATGCTGATGAAATTCTTCTTGTTGTTTGCCTAAACAAGAGACTAAATGAGTCTAACATGGGAACTGCATGGAGTTAAACCAAGCATGTGTACATGCACACACGAATGAGTGCATATAGACATCTGAGGGAGGGTAACACCATGGTCAATATCCCAGTGGCGATATTGCACTACAGGTACGTGAGACATATTCTTTGGGGAAACTGGGTAAAAAGTATGATCAGAATGGCACAGTTTTACAATGGTATATAAACCTATAAGTGTCTCAAAATCAAAAAGTTAATTTAAAAGATTTAATAGACAGCACACATTTTAACTTAGTGTTTTATTATGTTTGTTTATTCATGATACAGAAACCATTGTCTCATTTTAAAGCTTTTTTTCGTGAAAACAGCAGGGTTACGTGCACCTGATCGACATCATTTTGGCCTCAACATGAGCCGAGGACTAAGGTGAAGTTCACATTTGTTGCTTCCTGTCATTCATTTGTGCTGGCCTCGTTAGAGCTGCCTCCAGCCACAGCTTTTCTGAAGGCATTTTTTTAACATTTGCTCCTATTTTGTGACCATTCATTTAGCTAAAATTAGATCATAGGATTCATAAACCTACTTAGAATATGTTAGTTTTCCGTCGCTGCTACAGCAAATTATAAAAAATTTATTAGCTTAAAATAACACACACTTAATATTTTACCCTCTGGGGGTCAGAAGTCCAAGGGGTCTCACTGATCTCAGATCATGTGTTTTTTGGAAGCCCTACAGGATGATCTGTTTTCTTTTCTGCTCTGATTTGCAAGTCCTTCCAGCAATCACGTGACTTTGGCTTTCCTTCCATTGTCCTATCTCTTTTCCTGCCTTCTTCATTTATTAATTCTTAAATTATTACTATCCAGAAAATCCAGTATAATCTTCCCAATTCAAGATCCTTTGTGTAATTACATCTTTTGTCATGTAAGGTAAGACTTATAGTTTCTGGGGACTAGGTTGTGGACATAATTTGGGCTTATTAGTCTGCCTGTCACACAGTACATACGCAAACGGTTACATATCGCAGCATGCACAATGTGTACAGATCCGTAAGGACACCACTGTCACCCTCTCTGCTATGACACCCAGATGCTTTCCTCATGATGTCTCATGCACCGAGTGCTATGTCCATTTCCCATGCAGACTTGGAAAAGGCCTAATTAAATATCTTTAGGGCTTAAAATCCTGTTCAGGTTTTTGTTGGTTTAAACATAATTATAAATAGCAGTGCTAATATTCTCTTCCAATGCTTCTGATTGCTCTTAGGTTGGGTGACCCCAGTTGGAGTTTACTGCTTGAGACAATGAGTATTTTACAACTCTTGAAGCCTGTAGAGCAGTGCACAATCTACAGATTGTTTTTTGTAGAGTGTCTTAGTCCATTTGGACTGCTATAACAAAGATACCACAGAGAAGGTGAGTACAAAATTTATTTCTAATAGTTCTAGAGACTAGGAAGCCTAAGATCAAGGTGTCTTTTGTTGGTTCATAGACTGCCATTTTCTTTCTGTATCCTTCCTTATGTGGTGGAATGAGTGTGAGAGAGCTCTTGGGATCCCCTTTATAAGGGCAGTAATCCCATTCATGAAGCCTAATGCTCATCACTTCATTACTCACAAATGCCCCATTTCTTATAAGGGGGATAAGATTTTGACCTATGTATGCAAATATTCAGTTCACACCAAATTATTTCATTGTATGCTGTCATTAATTTCCATGCAAACAGCACAGCAAGGTAGAACACAATCT